AAGTCCAACAAAAAATATGGGACATAAATAAAGAGTAGAGAAAGTGTAGTACTAACAGTCATAAATCCATTGTTGCCTGAATTTGAGATGCATTCCACTTAAAAATCCAGAACGCATACTAGCGCACATTTGTAAAGGAGTGAACCCATAGTAGTTTTTAGCAAGGGCTAAGTTTGGGCAACGCCGAACTAAATCCAATGCAATATCTACAGTAGGGTAGAGGAGGAGTGACAAGAAAAATGAATGAATCTAATGCTACTCTGACCACATTTATTTATCACATTCTCATACCACTTTATTTGGAAGATAAAGTGGATAGCCACATCAATTAGTGCCAATAAATCATAAAAGAAAAGAAAATGTTAAATTAATTGATATGGATGTCCATCTCATTTGCCACATAAGGTGGTATGGAAATGTGATATACAAATGTGGTAAGATTAGCATTATTCATCTTATTATATGGCAAAAGGTTAAATTGGAAACACATACCGAAATTTTTGGCCCAAAAACTCTCCGAAACAATCTCAGCACCACCGCGGCCGTTGTCTTGCAACAGAGCTTCGAGTGGAGTAACAGAATAGAGGTAGCGAGCCAATTCCCAATAGCTGAGACTATAAGCCCGGAGAAGTGGAATTGTGTTGTCTGGAGGACATGGAAGGCTAAGCAGTTTCTTATTTTTTTCAGTTATGCACTTAGCCAATTGTGTGATTCCTCTAGTCACAACGTAGACCATAGCTGTTAGACCATTAGCGTCCTGTATTTCCAAGTCTTCCTCCGTCATCAACTCCACTAACGCTTTCGCCATATCTAGATGTCCAAGCGCAACTGCTATGTGAAGAGCTGTCACACCTGATATTGAACCTCTTTCTCTGATTGCTTCGGGATTTCGACTAAGATACTCCTTCGCTAAATCCCAATCGCCCTTTACCACATTATCAATAAAGGGTTGATGGAGGGCGAACTCATTGACGTGGCTGATGTTACTCTCATTTCCTGCCAAGTTTTTATTGTTTTAATAAATTACTATTTGCTAAGAATGTCAGCGTCCAACTCACTCAAACAAAATTCTTGAAAATTCTTGTCAGTCAGTGGATAAGTTAAAGATTAGATATTGAAGGGAAACATAACAAGAAAAAAAAGTGTTTACGAGAGATCACATACCATCATTCGACATCGGATTGATATTCAAGTCTTCCCGTGGCACCAACGGAAACAACTCCTCTGCATCGCACACATGATAAGAAAATATCAATTAACTAAGTCAAAATGAATAATTCTATAGACACTCAATTGGCATCTAGGTCCCAACTCAAAAGCTTAAGGTGGTATTGGATTTAGTCCATTTTCTTTTTCTATATTGGTTCGAGTCCATTGAGTTTTTAATTAAGGTCCAAATGCTTTTATTTCCATTTTGCCCCCCGGAGGTTTAAATTGATGAAGGAAATACAACCATAAGTTTATACTGGGGTTTTGATCGAAATAGTCCCTGAACTTATATGCACGAGTTTTATTTTAGTCATTCAACTAAATTTTTCACTCCTTTGGTCCTTCAACTTTCTCTTTAGTGTCAAATTGGTCACACCAGTCAAGTTTTATCAAATTTGCCGTCAAATTGAGGGGTAAAACCATCAGTTTGGGCGCTAATCTCCTAAATCGACCAACTCAATTATGTAACGAACATTTCCCTCCATAAGCCATTACTCTCTCCCCCAAGTTGAAACTCTATCCCATAAGAGAAACGTCTTATGGAGGGAAATGTTTGTTACAAAGATGGAATGGTCGTTTTAGAGGATATCAGAGCACAAATTGACAATTTTACCCCTTAATTTGACGACAAATTTGATGGAGGGACAAATTTAACACAAAAGAGAGAGTTGGAGGACCAATGGATTGAAAAATTTAGTTACAGGACCAAAATGGAACTCGAGCATAAATTCAGGGACCATTTCAATTTATAAAATTAAAAAAAAATAACCATTTTATATATTTGCCAGAAATTTATGCCATATGTCCTACACTCAATCAAAAAATTTGTTAGCAATCATACACATACAAGTAAACACTTAAAAATTCAATTACAAATGCATAAAGCACCCACAATATGAATATTCTACCTATTGTGAAGGAAGAAAAATGCAATATAGTTTTACGCAGCCTTCTGCACAGTGAAATAATGTTTACTACTGCAGCTGTACCATCATAAAAATAAAAAAATGAAAATACAGTAACCTAGATCGAACCATACATATATACAGATGCCGCGCTTCGTGATGTGTCCACCATTCTGTCAGAGTCATTTAGGTGTAAAACATGCATGCTTGTTTTGACTACGTACCTTGAGCTGGCTTTAGCTTTTCGGCCAAAGTATCCCAGGCAGCTTTGGCGGTCTTAGTGCCCCAGATTAAAGAGTAATTATCAGACCCGCAATAATTCTGGGTTACAATTAAAGCCTTGGCATCTTTCTTCCTCCAAGCGTTAAACTCAGCTTCACCATCTTCTGGTTTAGGAGGTTCAGTGGTGGCTTCCACAACGTCCCAAAGATCTTCAGCTAACAAGTAGAGTTTAACCCGGAAACTCCAATCTTCATAGTTATTCTGGTTAAGAACTGGGGGATTAGGAATTGCACTAGTGACAGTTGTAGCTGCCATGTTCAATCTGCCAATTGACCCATGGTGGTATTATGTCAATCGAGAGTATATACGTTAGAACAAACAAGAAAAAGAAAATTAAACAAACACAATCACAGATTGAGTTGGAACAAAAGGACATAATTTGTTTCCATTCAACTATTTTTGGGAGTTAGGCCAAAAAGATTATTGTTGGCAAGTGTTGTATAAAAAAGGAAGATGTGGGCATCAAAAATAAAAAAAATTTAGTGTCAAACAAAAAAGAAATATAAAAATGTTGCGGATGTTGCTCAAATTCAATTGAAATACAAGCGTGAATCATCTTGTTTCAATTACAGCCAAATTTACAGGTTGTATGTTAGTATACATCCTAAAGCACCAGATTGAAGCCTTAGTCTAAATATCTTGTGCCCAATGGTGAGTGTATAGTGTTGTGTATGTAGGGTTGTTGGGTGATATGAGTGGGTAGGGAGGGGGGGGGGGGGTATGGAAGATCTATATAAACAATGAGAACCAAATTTTATTTGGTATGCTAATTAATACAGTGAGAACCAAAAATAAAACATATATCATAATATATAAACAAGAACATCTTAATTACATACCTCCTTCTCTCTCTTTCTCAGCTCTCTCGTGCAACTAGGGTTTTATTTTTTTTGAAGGATGGTTTCATTTTTCAAGGATCGGATAAATAAATAGAGAAGACAAAAGGAAAGAAAGAGAGAGAATAAAGATGGCGGAGAGAAAGAGGAACAAGAAAAGAGAGAGAATAAATAAAAAGAAATGAGAAATGAGAGAGAAGAAAGAAATGGCAAGGAAGAAATAGAAAGAAAATAAGAAAAATGAGAGAGAAGACAAAAATGACAAAGAATAAACAGAAAAGAGAAAAGATAAAGGGGAAGGGATGAGGAACTCATTTTCGAGAGGAAGGAAGGAAGGAACAATAATCATGTCAGAGGGAATATATGTCTTTTGATCTATTAGAGTTTGTTTTTCTTTGGTTTAATTAGTATATTATTGCAATGATTCCACAATCACAGTAGTCTAAAGAAATTTGTTTGGATTACTTAAGAAAAAAAAAACACATACATACATCCCAGTAAAACACGAGTGGAGAAAGAAAAAAAAACATATAGACCTTCTTGTAAAAGAAGTGGAAGAGATCTTATAAGAGAGTAATTAATCTTATTACGCAACTTAAGAAAGAATTTGAGTTTTCTTATTATTAACCGTCATAAATTCTATTGACGTGAGTCTCCTAATTAATCAAGGAGATTTATTTCCTTGATTAATTAAGGGATTTACTTTCATATTCTATATAGTTGACAAATCATTATATAATTAGGAGATACTATCCTAATTGATTACTATATCTATTTTCTTGTAAAGCACTCATGTAAACTCATATATATACCTCCTTATGGAGAAGAATAAAACATAACCCAAAGTATTCAAATCATATTCATATTTTAGCATGGTATCAGAGCAATCGATCCTAGGTTGTCTCTAAACCCTTATATCAAATTTCGCATATTCAAATCCAAAACCCAATATCAAATTCCTCATATTTTTCCCCAAATCCAAATCCCTCAAATCTAAAGTCCTCAAATCCTCTTATCAAAATCCCTAAACATATACCCTCAAATCTTATACACAGATGATTAGCACATTAATTTGTGTCAATTATTAATACAACAAACCTTCATCTTTGGGGGGATTGCTTCAAGCTTGCCCCATTTCGAACCCCTACTTTATTCCTACTTTCTTTTACTTTTTCTTTGTTTGGGTGTCTTCGTGTGTTTCACGAAAACAATAGGTTCTTTCTTTTTTTTTCTTTTTTTTTTTTTGAGAAAAGAAAACAATAGATTCTCTTTAATTCTCAACATTGCTGCAAGAAAAAGCAAGAAATCCAAAGAACCATTCGTTTCTTATACTCTTTGGAACGCCAATATATATACAGTCCCTTTTACTTTTCCTCTCTAGCTATATATAATTCATGGTGCACTATAAGAGCAATAAACTTTGGTTCATTGAAATCATGAAATAGTGATAGTGATCATCCTGATAATGTTGACCGAATCACCACCAAACATGTTTCCCACGAAAAGCGTCACAAAAAAAGAAACACAAATGAACATCCTGATTATCACACCAACAAAATGTTAGCCCAATATCCAAAACAAAATATATTTTTTTTATCTTTTTTGCTCTGTTGGCAAAATCATTAGTGGCCCATCATAATGTTGGGCATGTCAGCCCATGAACAGTGTCATTTCCAACAAAATCTCATACCATGGCTTCCTCTACTCTTATCTTCTGCTTCCACTTCGCAGGTAAATATATATATACCGAAAAACAGAAAACAAAAACCTATATAGAGTCGGAGATTATAAAAACCGTGAACAAAGGCTTTTTCAAGAACATTGGAAGTCCTGTATCTCCTCGAATTCCTCCAGGAACTGTAAATGATGCAGCAAACATCATTGTAACGATGAGAGTACCTGCGACTGTACAAGAAGTTGCTTTCAATGATTTCTCTCCCTTCTTCACCAATTCTTTTTGGTTCTTGCTAAATAGTTCTTGTGCTGTCATATCGTCGGTATAATTGGTAAGTTCACGAACATTGGCAGGTGCAATACTCTCCACCTCCTACATTTCATTAAAAACAAAAATTTAGAGATGTGACCCACAAACCCTTTATCTCTTCTTACAAATCCTTGAGCAGTTACGTACGTAACCAAAACCATTTGAGATAAAATAATTGTGCATTGACCATTGTGCAAAGGTGCAGGAATATAGTGAGAAATTCTGACCTTGAACCATTGTAGCTCTCTCTGCATTTGCAAAGGTGCACCTTTAATATGATCAAGGTGTGGATACAAATTCCCTGCTGCATGTAGAATGCCATTGTTAAACGTATCTGTAGAATTTATAGTAGCTTTCCTTTCATTGTCATGCTTGTATATAAAGTCGTAAACTTTTGCTTGACGAGATTCAATGGCATGTTGGAGTATGTTCCTGCCTTTTCCATCAGTGACCCGTAGGAGGTCTGGATTTGCTTCTCCTAAAAGATCAATAAACTCAACATGACCTCGTTCTACAGCTTTGAAGATTGCTTCACGCAAGCATGGAACTTGCACAGGCTGTTTGTTTTTTACCACTTCACACATGCACTGCAGAAATTTCCGGATGTGTATATGAATCAGTTTCATGTCATATATACATTTGATACCTATAGGTTAACATTGAAAACAATATGATTTAAGGGCGTGTGTTAGAAAAACGATGACTAAAACAATATTTAAAACAGAAATAAACAATTTGTGGATGTAGCATAGCCAAAAGTTGAAGGAGATTCGCAACAGGTGCTTGGAAGAAACCCCTAATAACTGCATTGAGAATATGTTTATTAGGTTATATATATTTTCCTGCAATCTCAATTGACGCGTGTTGTTGATGTTGTCTGGCATGCAATCACAAACCTGAGCGAATGTGTTCCGTTTGATTGCCTTCGTCTTCTTCTGGTTTTTCAAAAAATTTACACAACAAATGTCACTGGTGGTAGGAGTTGGATAATGTTTGTATATGCCTATTGACAAAAGATTGCAGCGCCAATTAATACAACGGAAGCCATCTTTCTATGATGAAAGCTAATTGTACAAGAGAAGCAATACTAACTGTTATAGATCCATCGTTGCCAAAATTTGAGTTGCTCTGTACTTGGAAATACAGACCGGGCACTAGCCAATGCATTGAAAGGATAGCATCCGGAATAGTCTCTAGTAATGGCCAAGATTGGGTAACGCTGAATTAAATCCCATGCAATATCTATAGTAGGGGTGAAAGAAGAAGGAAGAACTAATTCCCCACAAAAAAATCAAAAGGGGCCATAATACTAGAGAGATCATATTTTTATACTATATTTGAATATTACTGGATGAGGTAACCAAATTCATTAGTTGTCATGGCATATATATATTTAAAAAAATTAAAAGATCTTACCAAATTCATGGGTGAGAAAACAACGGGAAATAAGTTCGGCGCCATCGCAGCGGCCGTCATTTTCTTGAATCAGAAATTCGACGGGAGTGACAGAATAGAGATAGCGAGCCATTTTCCAGTTGCCTGCTTTATAATAAGCCACAAGTACCGGAGTCATATTCATATCCCTGGGAAATGTAAGGCGCTTGCTAACTATTTGCTTGTTCTTCTCAACCAGGCATCTAACCATCTGGATGGTTCCGGTCTGCACAGCGCAACCAAAAGTTGAAACGCCATAACCATCTGTTATTTCGAGGTCTTCTTCTGTCCTCAACTGTAGCAACTCTTTCATGATGTGCAGGTGGCCCGCCGAGATTGCTACGTGAAGTGCTGTCGTTCCATTTAATGCACTTCTTGCTCGAACCGCATCGGGGTGTTCGGCAATGAACTCCTGTGCCTTGCCCCAATCACCACTCTTCACATCCCTTAAGAATGATTCAAAGTCGGCGATCTCAGGCTGGTCCTTGTTCTCAGTGTTGGTTTTGTAATGAAATATGAAGTGCAGGAAATATGAGTTGCTTCAGCAGAGCTCTTTGTATTCTGATTCACTTAGCTTCTGTTTACAATGATAAGCTAAAAGGCTTTTTAAAGAGAACAAATATTCTAGAGAATACTTCCTAGAGAACCTAAAAGACATTGCATAGGAACTCTACCAAATTAATTAAGGACAGCTACAGCTGCTGTAATAAATAGAGATATCCTAGAAAATGAAGGAAGTGCATTAATTCCAACACTCCCCCTTAATGGACTTTCTTCACAACTCCAATGAGCTCTCTTAAATAGCAAAACTTCTCTTGTGGAAGTGCCTTGGTGAGTATGCCTACCAACTGCTCCTCTGTCCTGCAGTATTCAAGTGACTCTCGAATGAAATGGTACTTGATGGCAACGTGCTTCGTACGATCATGACTCACTGGATTTTTCCCAATGGCAATGGCTGATTTGTTGTCACAATATAATTTGGTGCCTTCTTCTTGCTTTTGGCCAATGTCTTCAAGTATCCTTCTAAGCCATACAGCTTGTGATGCTGCCTTAGCTGCTACAATGTACTCTGCTTCAGCAGTAGATTGTGCCACCACATTTTGCTTCTTTGATGCCCATGAAAATATGATGGAACCAAGTGAAAAAACATAGGCCGACGTGCTCTTCATATCGTCAAGACATCCTACCCAATCACTATCTGTGTAACCAATAAGCCTTGATTTTTCTACTGCTGTAAACAAAATTCCATAATCAAGGGTGCCTTGCAAGTATCTCAACACCCTTTTTGCAGCTCTAAAATGAATCTGACTTGGCTCTTGCATATAACGTGAAAGTAAACTTGCAGCAAACATAATATCTGGTCTAGTTGCCGTAAGATACAAAAAACTACCAACCAAACTTCTGTACTTCTTAGCATCTGCCTTCTTTGCACCATCAAACTTCCTCATTTTCTCATTTGCTATCAAAGGAGTAGCCACTGATTTGCAGCCCAGCAAATTTAACTTCTTGAGAATATTTTCAGCATATTTCTTTTGAGAAATGAAGATCCCATTTTCAGTTTGAGAAACTTCAATTCCCAAAAAATAATGAAGTAATCCCAGATCACTCATCTCATAGGTGCTCATCATATCCTTCTTGAACTGTTGGATCAAGTGTTCATCGTTGCCCATAAAGATCAAATCATCAACATACAGTGAAACAATAAGAATGGAAGCTCCCTTCTTTAGGATGTAAAGTGTGGGCTCACTTTGGCTCTTTTGAAAACCACTATGTGAAAAATACTTATCAATTTCAGCATACCAAGTCCGGGGCGCCTGCTTTAGCCCATAAAGAGCCTTTTTCAACTTGTAAACTTTGTCTTCTCCCCCTTCAACAAGAAAACCTTGGGGTTGCTCAACATAAACCTATTCTTCTAGCACTCCATTCAAGAATGCTGACTTCACATCAAGCTGATAAATCAAACAATTCTTTTGGGCAGCAAGAGCAATCAAAGTTCTAATTGTTTCAAGTCTTGCGACAGGAGCAAAAGTTTCAAAAAAATCAATACTTGGCTTTTGAGTAAAACCTCTAGCCACGAGCCTTGCTTTGTGCTTTTGAATGCTTCCATCTTGATTAAACTTTGTCTTGAAAATCCATTTGACTCCAATCACATCTCTGTCTTTTGGGAGATCCACAAGCTCCCAAGTTTGATTTTTCTCGATCATTCTTATCTCATCCTTCATTGCTTTCACCCATACTTCATGCTTCTGGGCTTCTTCAGAGCTCTCTGGTTCTATACCAGAAAAGTTGCAAGTCTCATAAATATCATTCAAGCTTCTGGTTCTTAGTGGAGGACTTTCTGATGAAGAATAAATTGGGGAAACAAGTTCAGCATTTGAATTGTTTCCGGCAGCTGCTGGTGTTTGAGGAGTGGCTTCTTCTTCTTGATGCTCTCCTGGAATCTCCCTTTGCTCTTGCACTAAAGCATATGGCATTTCCTGCACTTTATTTTCATTCCAATCCCATCTTGCTTTTTCATTAAAAACAACATCTCTACTCACAATTAACTTCTTAGTTTCAACATTATAAAGTCTGTAACCTTTGGTGCTGGAACTGTATCCAACAAAGATGCATTTCTGGCTTTTATCATCAAATTTAGTTCTCTTTTCAGCATATGAGCATAACAGATACAGCCAAAGATTTTGAGATGTCTTACCGAAGGCTTGAAACCACTCCAAGCTTCAAATGGAGTCTTGTTCTTGACAACTTTAGTTGGACTTCTGTTGAGAATATACACTGCTGTAAATACAGCTTTTGCCTAAAAACGTTTAGGTAGTCCTTTCTCATTCATCATTGAAGTAGCCATCTCAACAATTGTTCGATTTTTTCTCTCTGCGATCCCATTTTGTTGGGGACTATAGCTTGCTGTCAATTGCTTCCAAATTCCTTCATCTTTGCAATAATCTTCAAATTCTTGAGAGGTATACTCACCTCCTCTGTCACTTCGCATAACTTTAATGGTGCTGCCACTTTGCTTCTCCACTAATGCTTTGAATCTTTTGAACACAACAAAAGTTTCTGATTTTTCCTTCAAAAAATAAACCCAAGTCATCCTCGAAAAGTCATCAATAAAGGTGAGGAAATACCTGTATTGACTTAAAGATGGAGTTTGCATTTTGCCACAGATATCAGTGTGTATAAGTTCCTGGTGCTTTTGCTCGCCATGTGCTTTGTCGAGGAAAAGAATTACGGTCAACCTTCTCTGCTCGTGAGACTTTAAAGAACCCATCAATTGTTCAATTGATAAGGTGGTGATGTCCTTGCACTCTTCAATAGCAGCAACAATGGGATCATATTTTTCAGGCAAGCTGATCAATATTTTTTCAACAACCCTCCGGTCAGAGATCTCCTCACCAAGTGTTCTCATTTGATTCACAACTTCAGCTAGTCTGGAGGCATAATCTTGGATGCATTCAGATTCTTTCATCTTCATATTATAGAACTCCCTGCGCAAAGTCTGTAGCTTGATTGTTATGGCCTTGCTATCACCTTGAAACTCCTTTTCTAATGTATCCCAGGCTTCTTTTGCTGTTTTAGCTCTTGTGATTCTTGGAAAAATGTCTGAAGTGACTCCGTTCTGAATCTTGGAGAGAGTCTTGGCATCTTTCATGACTTCTGCTTCGAACTTCTCTACTTCTGCTGCTGGAAGCTGACTTAGATTCTCTGGTTCTTGAATCCCTCTTTCAACAAAGCTCCAAAGTCCTTCTGACAGCACAGCAGTATAGTTCTCATCTTCACCTTCCAGAAATCATAATTTTCACCTCCAAAGATTGGGAGAATAGAGTAGGAAACTGATGGACCTTCTTTGGCTCCTAATGACATCTTCTAGAATTGATTTTAACGCCCAGATATGATCGAACGCTGCTCTGATACCAGTTGTTGGTTTTGTAATGAAATATGATCAGTGCAGGAAATATGAGTTGCTTCAGCAGAGCTCTTTGTATTCTGATTCACTTAGCTTCTGTTTACAATGATAAGCTCAAAGGCTTTTTAAAGAGAACAAATATTCTAGAGAATACTTCCTAGAGAACCTAAAAGACATTGCATAGGAACTCTACCAAATTAATTAAGGACAGCTACAGCTGCTGTAATAAATAGAGATATCCTAGAAAATGAAGGAAGTGCATTAATTCCAACACTCAGATCCTGTTTGGTAAAATTAATTCAGCTAGCATGTAAATTTCACTTTTACTTATCAGTAAAAAGTTCTCTAAACCTTTCAACAGTCTTCTTTATTTTTATTTATGACAGAGCACGACAAAAAATTATGTTAGCTAGGTGCTATATTTGTTGGAGAACTATGAGCTAGATATATAGCCAAAACGTTACGTACATAACCTTGGCTTGTTGAAATGATTAGGCTGAATATATGTCGTGCCTGATGTTTAGATATGTTACCATTATGATTTGTTGGGAAAGAAAAGCTATGGTGAAAATCATTTTGATATGGTATTTTGAGTTTATTTTTTAGAAGATGTTATTGGCACTCGAAAAAAGTCATCATACACTCTGCCTCTTTCTTCATAGAAAACATAAAGAGTGAGTACATGATCACTTTTTTGAAATGCTAATATATCAGTTCCCTATCTTTTTTTCTTCATTCATTAATTATTTTCCCATAAAGAAATCTACTTATGCGACAAATAGGGAATACCTGTTGTATCCAAGATTTTCAATTCTGAACAGAACTTATTTGCTAAAGTATACCATGCATCTTTGGCCTTTTTGCTGTCCTTGATAAAAGTGAAAATATCAGTCCCGCAAGAAATCTGAATTTCTTGGTCCTAACTTTTTCTCCAACTCCATCACCGAATTCTTGTGTAGGAGCTTCAACAAGGTCCCAGAGATCTTTAGCCAACAAGTATGTTTCAACCCGAAAACTCCATTGTTCATAGTTATCTTGGTTAAGAACCTCATGAACAATTGAACCAGGGACAACTGTAGCTGTGGCCATTGCTTAGGCTGTCAAGTTATCCAAAGTGATTAAATTGTAAGAGCTATACCGAGAACTTTAAGTGGTGAAATTAACCATCTTATTTAATTTAAATAGGATATAGAAGTAGTAAACACCAAAATAAATCAGTCAAATTTTTAAGAAGAAAAAACAGCTACCGCTTCTTAGTTACACTAATTAACTTGAAAACTGTGACAAAAGAAAAGTGGAAGAACATGAAATAAAAATTCTTCTAAAAGTCATTTACAGAAATACCAAAAACAAAAAATGAGTATGATCAAAATAAAGTAGTGAAGTGAAGCGAAGTATAACTACTCACAAACTGAATTGGGGAAATCTTAAGAAGGATGGAGCTTATAAATTCCACTATGTGCATCCATATGCAGTAGCCAAACTTCTAATTTATAGACAAACAATAATGTATGTTTTCGTTATGTTTGTTTATAATAACAAATCAGAAATTAATTAAAAAAGAAATAGACTTAGCAAAAGACATAAAAGAACACTCCAAGTCGCAAAAGGTGTCTCAAAGGCTGACCTGGAAATCTCATCGATGATTACAATTTAATAGAGTATAGCTCTTATAATTTGTCCTGTGCTACTGTAGTTGATATGTCTAATTAATACAAATTTAGTAATCTAGTAATGGAAAATTGAATTGTTTAATTTTGGACAGGAATCTCATTATTGCGTTTTTTTGTTGTTGTTGCCAAAGTTAGAAAGGAGTAATTATAGAGAATAAGTAAATTTAGTACATCTTGTACATGTGTTATAATCTATAAATGAATATTTATTGATATTATTCCCTAAAAGAATGGAAATAAACTCTGTCAAACAGAGAAATGAGTTATTTAATAAATAAAAGATAAAGTAATTTATGTTGACGTCTTCTTTTCACTAGATATTAGATTATATTTTCATTTTGGTGGTTTTTTATTTTTTATTTTGCCAAAGTTAGGAATAGGGAGGGGGAAACTCACACACACAAGTATCATGAGAACTTGAACTCATGACCACTCAGGAGAACATCAAAGGTCTATGCTAAGGGTGCGAGTTGGACTGGAAAATCCGATTTCGACCAATTCCAATAAAAAAATTTCCAATTTTGGCAAGTCCAAATTAATTACGATATCCGAAAATTCCGAAAAAAGTTGGATTGGAATTGGAATGTATCTCGAGATTCCAAAAAATTCCGAATTCCAAAATATATTGAGCTTTCAAGCTTAGACTACATATAATTACTAATTTCATGTTAAACTAAATATATTTGATGACAAAATAGATATAGACAAGTTACTCCATAAATGATAACAACATCCAAGTACTAGCATATAATAGTTTTTCAAACATTCGATATGAGTTCTAAATTTTGAGCCAATTTTAACAATTCAAATGGTTAGACATGTTTAAAATTTTGAACTATTTTTCAAAAATTCTGAAAATTCCGAATTTTCTGAAACGGATTGGATATCGAAATTCAGAAAGATTTTGGAACAAAATTGGAATAGAATTTTCATTCCGAAAATATTTGGATTGGAATTGGAACCATCTAATTCTGATATGATTTGTTCGAAAATCAGCCATAGTATGGACCAATTAATCCAACTAAAACCCTGTTCGGTTTGAAAGATTCATTTTGGTGATTTAATTAGGTATTTATATTTTTAGGTATAATTAAATAATCAAAACCAAAATTCACCGAACACTTAGGTTGAATGAAAGAAAAATCTCACACCCAATCTATTCCGGAAGATTATGTGATGTTTTCTTTACCATCCAAGAAAAGAATGTGAAGCGTTCCAATTCAAACATCTTTTGCTTACAAAAGAAAATCAAACAACTTGTGACTAAAATAACGCAAGAGGTGCATGATTAACCAAATTACGAGCTATTTGTGTTTTTTGTTTTTGTTTTAATCTGAAGTCTTTAATTATGCTTATTTTATCTGAAGTCTTTAATTATGTCTGATTCTTTTAAGATTATGAAATTTTCAAACTGCTAGCGAGGCTGCTGACAAGGATTATTGGAGTTATTTGGAACAAAATCACATAATTTGGGAGTTGGGCCAAAAAGATTATTGTTGGGTATACGTATCAATCAAATATAAAAATGTTTAGAACTTTAGTACAAATATATATATAAAAATATAAAAATATTGCGTCTGTTGTTCATAGTCAATTGAAAATACAAGTGAGAATCATCTTGGTTCAGTTGAGCCGAAGTTGAATGTTTGAGTGGTCCTAGCTTCCGTCGATGATATGACATAAGCATGAACGATGCAATCAAACGTCAGTTTTACAACTAGCTCATATAATAATTTTGTTTTTCTAGATGCAGAGAGTATATATAGTAGGGCTGACAATGGGTCGTGTCATGTCGGGTTGGGATAATAAATGTGTCAAGAATGCTCAACCCAAAACTCAACCCATTTAATAAACGTGTCGTGTCGGGTTTGGGTCGTCTTTTATCATGTGGGTTTTGAGTCGTGTAATGGGTTCATAAATAATAACATGCATGTTACGAAACTCACAACTAAAAAAAATTAAATTAAAAAAAACAAAGAGAGTAGAGAAAATATAAGGAAAAGAAAGAAGAAGAAAAAAGATAGAGAGAGGAGAGAAGAGAGAAGGAAAAGAAAGAAAAAAAAATAGAGAGAGAGAGAAGAGAAGATTGAAGGAAAGAAAGAAAGAAAAAAGAAAGATGAGAGAAAACTAAAGAGAATGAAAAGAAAGAAAAAAAAAAGGAGAGAAGAGGAAAGGAAAAGAGAGAAAGAAAAAAAAAAGAGAGAGGATAAAGAAGGAAAAAAAAGAAAAAAAAAAGGAGAAGAGAGATGGAAAAGAAAGGAATGCACAAAAGAAAAAGAAACATTATAAATATCAAAAGGCATATGATAAAATCACAAAGTTGTTTGTAGCATGGTGGATAAGATGTTTGTAGCATGCTTGTGTGTGTGCTGAAGTCTCCATTTCTCTTCATTTTTTAGCGGGTTGACACGACCCGTTTAATAAATGGGTTAGACATGTATTATAGCGGGTTGACCCGAAACCCATCCGTTTATTAAACGAGTCAGAACGGGTTGACCCAAAATTGACCTGTTTTTTTATCGTGCAGGTTGAACCCGCTAATTTCTTGCGCAAGTTTTGAGTCGTGTATCGGGTCGTATCCGAAATTGCCACCCCTACATTTATGTAATAAAGTGAGAAAATTTGACCTTGAACCATTGTAGCTCTCTTCGCATTTGCAAAGCTGCACCTTGAATACGATTAAGATGGGTAGATAAACTCCATGCTACATGTAGGATAATATTGTTAAAGTCATCTCCACGCGTTAAGATAGCATTCCTATCATATTCGATGAGCCCATATATAAGATTAAAAACTTTTTCTTGACCACATTCGACAGTGTAATGAAACGTTAATCTGCCTCTTTCATCCATCTTCACTAGTGTGAATCTTGGATTCGCCTTACACATTTCCTTAACAAACTCCACTTGTCCTTTTTCTACAGCTCGGAGGATTGCCTTTTTCACGAAGGCATTTTGCTTCAAGTCAAGATTTGTACGTCTTACCACGTCACACATGAACCGTAGAATGTGAAGAAGTTGGTCATGGCCCAATCTCATTTTGTCCAAGTCATGGATTCCTAGGTTAACAGTGAAAACAATATTAATCTGCAACGTATTACAAAAGTGAGAATTAAACCAAGAATCAATAATATGGATGGATGTAGCTAGCGTACCTAACAGTTTGAGAAGATTCTTAACAACTCCTTTGGAAGAAACCCGTAACTGCATTGCGAAATCCGTAGATGTTGGCTGAACAAAAACAAAAAGGAAAGAAAAACATACAAAAATATTTATAGAACTTTTTTACTTCAACTGCTATACTCTATTTATATATGATGAACATTTTGAACACAGTGTACGTTATATAAAATATTACATGTTTTTTTTTCCATTACTTTATATAAAATATAACAAAGGATGCAATATTGAAAAACAAGAAATACCTGAGGAAATGAGATCCCTTCTATTTCTTTTGTCATCTTCTAATTCTTCCAAATTTACACAAACATCAGGGTTGATAGGAGCAGGTTGAGGTTGTTGTACGTGTATATCTAAAGAGAAAGCAACACAATCCAATCAATACATTTTCCTACTTTGTCTAAAGTAGTATTATTCTATTTCTATATAATGATATATATATATATACATATGTGTGCGCGCTAGGCCTCATCATTTGGCCCGCGGGCTTATGGGCCGATGGGGGCCCTCTGGGCCCATTGAAAAAAAGCCCAGCCCGGCCCGTTATGGGCTTTGAGATGGCCCGACCCCCGCCTTGGTCTAGGCTAGGCTTGGACTTGAGTATCTAAAGCTCGGCCCGGCCAGGTTGAGCCCAAGAAAGCCTGACTCCGCCTGCCCACAAAAGCCTGGCCAGTTAGGCCCGCATACATATATAAGTGTGCATAGATAAGAGTTTAGGTTTATGATTATATCACTTAATTCACATATATAATTTGTTTCATTTCATTTACTTTTCTTTACTCATTCCTAGTTTATAATTGGATGATTAGCACATTAATTTGTGTCAATTATTAATTCAACAATTATATATATATGTATATATAATCATATCAGATGAACAACAATTATATATATATAAGATGAACAACATATCACATCACCAAATATAATCATATCACGAAACATAATCGTACCACCAAATATAATCATGCTTTTCTTGAACACATCACCAAATATTTGCATATTTATTCATACCATCCTTTAAAAAAAATATTTTTTTTATACTTATTATTTTTTAAAATTATTTTTTAAAACGTATTACGGTCTAATTATGTAATAACCTAAAAAATAATACTTAGTTTTATTATTTTTGTGGAAAATCTTATTAAGTTGTGTGACTTTATTGGATGTTTTATGAATTTGGTTTGATGTGAAAATATTGGAATTAAGTGAGTTTAATCTCAAATTTGGACTAAAATGCCCTTATGATTAAGTTTATGATTTTTTTTAATGAAGTAGGTCTGTTTAGGCCCGGCCCATGGGTCTGGCTTGGGCTTTGAATTTTCTAAAAAAACCCGGCCCGACCCAGCCCAAGCCCATTAAATTTGGGCCGGGCTAACCCAGCCCGGCCCATTGACGAGCCCGCGCGCAAGCGAATTCAGACACTATCTTGTGAACACTGAAAGCTAATGAATATGCACTTGCACTTCTTCATAAATACATAATAAATCAAATCAGAAGGAAACATAAAAAGTAGAAAGCTCTTGTAAAGTTCATTTCGTATTAATGTAATTAATATCTTTTTTTTTTCAGTCTCAATTCGATTATCCTTGCAATAGAAAATAAATCAAATCAGGCATATATATTTAGTTGGTACATCTCACTTTATATATAACTTTAACATGAAAAATTTAGTTTGATACTACGAAGAGAAGAGAGACGAGAGAAGAGAGAAGAGAATACAAAATACTAACTGTTATAGATCCAGCATTACCAAATTTATTTATGTAGAAAATGCACTGGGAAATAAGTTCAGCGCCATCACGGCCATTATTGTCTTCTGTCAAAACTTGGATTGGAGTGCGAGAATAGAGAAACCGAGCTATTTCCCAATGGCCCAAACCATAAGCGAATAAAACTGGAGGCATACCTCCTGATACGTTGCTAAAACGCATGGTAACTAATTTCTCGTTCTTTTTAACCATGCTGGCAACTATTGGAGCCATTCCTCTTATCAAAGCATAGAAAAAAGCTGTGGAACCATTGCCATCTTCCACAATGTCAAAGTGCTTCCTATCGATTGCCTCGTGAAGAGCTGTCCCATTGCTTGATGAACCTCTATGGCCCCGTTTGGTTCATGGAATGAATTTGAGGGGAAATCATTTCCCATGTCATTCCCCAAAGAATGGGAATGGAAGATTCCTTTCCCACGTTTGGTAATGCTGGGAAAGTAACCGGGAAATATCACTTTATTTCCTTTCCCATGTTTGTTTTGAGTAGGAATGGAAAACAAAGTTTGTATAAATTTTCAATCATACTCATATTAAATCAAATAAAAAAATAATGTATTTAATGATATATTGTAATTCTAAATTGTTAATGGGGATAAAATGGTCATAAAAAATATGTATTTAATGTTAGCTCATTTTCCCAAACTTTCCCATGAGGAGGGAAAACAAAACCCAAGTTGGGAGGATGGCTTCACTTTCCCTCATATTTTCCCATTAGCCAGACAACGATTTCCCATACCTAGACTTACCAAACTTGAGAAAGCAATTGATTTCTCATTCATAAGTCTCTTTTCCCATGAACCAAACAGGCATGTGTTAGTGCCTCGGGGTGTCGATTAATAAACTCCTGTGCAGCATTCCAATCACCACACTCCAAACTATCGTACAAAGGATCATACTTCACATCACTCTCATCATCATTATTATGCCATCCTGTTTCTTAGCAAACATAAAAATAAAAATTATGCCATCTAACATCCCGTTTAAGTTACAAGATCTGATGCCAACCCAAAGTTATTTTTTTTGAGTTACATCGATCGAACCTATTAATTGGTGCCACGGGGGTGTTTCGAACCTCAGCCCTTTGGGCTGGAGGCCAACACCTTCCCATCCACAGCCAGACTTTCACCGCTACACTTTACTTCCGTACATGTGGTATAACTTTCACAGCTGGACAATACTTGCGTACCTATGGTATATCTGTATTACTCAATAATTTCTCCCACATATAACAACAAATAAATTTGACAAGAATAAATGAAAAAACACCACCCCAGTAAATGCCCATATATATACTCTAAAACTAAGTAGAAAAATAATGCTACAACATCAATAACAAAACCCATTTACCCAAACAATTAAAATAAAATAAATATCGCGCAATATTATATATTATACCTATTTAATATATAAAATATTAAATGGGCTTTAAACAAGCTAGCCCGTTAAGAATCCAAGTTATCATATACCACCATTAATTACAGATACCATTACCATTTTGAAAGAATTTTTTTTTCTTTTTAATTATTGTATAAGGAGAAACGAAGGATCTTTCCATAGTATTCTGCTTGTGAATAAATACTTTCAGTCGTTAAGGAACAATAGACACCAATTCGCAATTGAATATAGATGAAGATCTAAATTTAGTGTACATTGTGTCACGGCCCGCATGTTCAAGGCCCAACCCGTTGGATTGATCATGCTAGACCTCTTGGCCCACATGTCCAGATTCGTTGTACAGTAGTAGGTAGACTACGGTTGGTGACAATAGTTGGTAGATGCCAATAGGTGACATTGTATCTGAGCCACCTACTGTTGTGGTAGGTGGGATAGGAATAGTATATAAGGAGGATGACACATTGTGTATCCTCACCTCACAACTTGTAAAGCATTTGAGTAGCAATACAAGCATATATTCTCCCAAACTCTGTTAAGCATTCTTACTGTTCTTGCTCTTGCGATTGTTCTTTGCTTGGTTCGATCTTGTGTTGTAGGAAGGAGGCTGACTTACCTTGTTCGAGAGAGGCGATCAAGTCTAAGGCCGCACAGAAGGAAGACTCCGAAAAAGTCATCCCGTGACAGTTGGTATCAGAGCGAAAGCTCGAATCATTCGAAGAAGCATGTCGAAGAGCGGATCCGATGTGGAGACTGATCTGTCCAAGGTCAATATGGATCGTGGGGGCAAATCAAATAGGGAACGATATAGAGATGTTGTAGCCATGATGGAGAAGCGGCTTTCGAAGATGGAGAATGTCGTGGTCAAGTTCGATCAGCGACTCGAGGAGGACGTCCTTACGAAGATGGGCTTCGAAGCTATGATGGATAAGCTTGAAGGCCAATTCCAGGGAGTCCTCAACTCCGCGCTAGACAACATGCGGCTAGATGTTCAAACCAAGTTGGATCATTTCATGGCGGAGCTTACTGCGCTTCGTGATGAGGTGAAGGATGTGAAGGGAAATTGGGCCTTGTGCAAGGAAGCTGTCTTGAACAAGACCCGAACTCAAAAGGAACCGAAGGTGTTAGATTCTTTCAAGCCCAAATCCTACAATGGGAAAAGGGAGGTGAAGGAGCTAAACACATTTCTGTGGAATATCAAAAGGTATTTCAAGTATCTGAAGCTCGAGGATGATGAGCCCAAGATCAACACGGCAACGTTGTTTCGTACCGACAATGCTCTCATGTGGTGGCGTCGTCGATCCATGGAGATCGAACAAGGTACGTTTACACTTGAGACTTGGGATGAATTTAAGAAGGATATTATGCTGCATTTCTATCCAGAGAACGCCAAGTATGAGGCAAAGGAGAAGCTGAGATGGCTAAAGCAAACTGGGAGCGTGAAGAACTATGTCGCCACGTTCACCAACCTGTTGTTCGAGGTGCCTAGCATGAAGGATGAAGACAAGCTCATGTACTTCATGAGTGGCCTACAAAATTGGGCCAAGCTGGAGTTACAGAGGAGACATGTCCAAACCTTGTCAGAGGCAATTGCTGCAGCTAAGTCTCTTGTTGAGTTCAAGAAGAAGGATCAAGGCGACTCTAAGTCCAAAGGAAAGAAAGATAGCAGTGGATCCAGTGGGGGAGACAACAAGCCAAAAGAGGGTAGCAAGTCAGGAGACAAGTCTGACAGTCACAAGTCATCCTGGAAGAAGAATGACAAATGTGACAAGGGGAAAGACAAGTCGAAGCTAGCTTGCTACTTGTGCGATGGAGTGCACATGATGTGGGATTGTCCGCAAAAGAAAGCCTTGAACGCTATGAACCAAGAGAAGGAAGAGGAGGCCGACAGGGAAGCAAGAATGGGGGCCATTCACCGCTTCAATGCCCTGCAGGCCAAGGGAGCTCAACCACAGGTTCAAGCCAAAGGTGTGATGTTCGTCGATGCCGTGGTGAATGGCAAGACAACCCGTTGCCTGGTAGATACAGGTGCCTCGCACAACTTTATGTCCGTGCAGGAAGCAAAGAGACTTGGGTATCGAGTCTCGAAGGAAGCAGGCAGTATGAAGACAGTGAATTCAACTGCCAAATCGATTGATGGAGTAGCTCGTGGTGTGGAGCTACACATTGCTGCTTGGAAGGGAGTAGCTGACTTCTCCGTGATCTTGATGGATGACTACGATGTCGTGCTTGGAATGGAGTTCATGGATGAGGTAAAGGCATTTCCCATTCCATTTTACAATACTATGTGCATTGCACAGGGTGGAACAATGCCATGCATGGTGCCAGTGGTGAGGCAACAAGGCAAGTCGAAGCTCTTGTCAGCCATGCAACTTTCCAAGTCTTGGAAGAAGGGCGAACCGATGTTCCTTGCAACTATGAAGATGGATATAGTTGAGAAGGAAGTCCAACCCATCCCGAAAGCTATGAAGGCAATCCTTAAGGAGTTTGCAGATGTCATGCCCAAGGAGTTGCCCAAAACCTTACCACCTAAGAGAGAGAGGTGGATCATGCCATTGAGTTGGAACAGGGTGCCAAACCCCCTGCCAAAGCGCCGTACCGGATGGCACCTCCTGAGTTGGAGGAATTGAGGAAGCAGTTGAAGTAGTTGTTGGACGCTGGGTACATCCAACCGTCCAAGGCCCCTTATGGTGCTCTAGTCTTGTTCCAGAAGAAGAGAGAAGGGACACTGAGGTTGTGCATCGACTACAGGGCGCTAAACAAGGTGACCATCAAAAACAAGTATCCAATCCCTTTGATTGCAGATTTGTTCGATCAGTTGGGAAGAGCTAGGTACTTCACCAAGTTGGACCTGCGCTCAGGATACTATCAAGTGAGGATCGCACCGGGAGACGAACCGAAGACCGCATGTGTGACAAGATATGGGTCTTATGAGTTCCTTGTCATGCCGTTCGGCTTGACTAACGCCCCTGCTACCTTTTGCACTCTTATGAACAAGGTATTCCATCCTTTCTTGGACAAGTTTGTTGTGGTTTACATCGATGATATTGTGGTGTACAGCAATTCCCTAGAGGAGCATCTTGAGCACTTGCAGAAGGTCTTCCAAGTTCTGAGGGAGAACTAGCTATATGTGAAGAGGGAGAAGTGCTCATTTGTCCAAGAAGAGGTAGAGTTCCTTGGTCAAAAGATAAGGGGAGGACAATTGCTCATGGAGGAGGGCAAGGTGCGAGCCATTCAAGAATGGGAGCCACCAACCAAGGTACCTGAGTTGCAGTCTTTCCTTGGGTTGGTCAACTACTATACATTGGAAGACAAAAAAGTTTGGGATCGATACTGGAAGAAGCCAGAGAACGTTTAATTTTGTGTGTGTTAGATCGAAATGCCTAATTTGTTTTGAAGAAGCTTCATGTTTTTTTGGGGTTGCTTCAAGCTTTCTCCATCTCGAGCCTCTACTTATAAAATTCCTATTTTCTTGTACTTTTTCTTTGTTGGGTGTCTTCATCTTTCACGAAAACAATAGGCTCTCTCTAATTCTCAACATTGCTGCAAGAGAAAGCAAAGGAAATCCAAAGAACCATTCCTTTCTTATAGGCTCTTTGGAACGCCAGTCCCTTTTAACCCCCACCCAAAAAAAAAAAAAAAAAAAACCTTATGGTTCATTGAAATCATGAAATAGTGATAATGATGATAAAGAGCAAACCCAAGTCCCAGTTTCTATTTTCAAAAAACTGTCCTCTGGTAATGTTGACCAAGTAACCACCAAATATGTTTCCCCCGCAAAGCATCACAAAAAGAAAGAAAAATGATCATCATGATTCTCATTCACATACAAATTCTTAACTTTTCACCAACAAAATGTTAGCCCAATATCCAAACCTAAATCTGACATACTATAATTAAGGGGTTGTGGGTGAGGGGGCCATTTCTACAAATAACAAGCTCTGTTGGCAAACTCAATGGTAGTCCATCACAATTGTTGCTCTCAGCCCAATATTGTTATTTTAGTGAGCTTTTTTTTCCTTTTCTTTTCTTTCAAAGTTTGTTGTATAGAAGAGGAAAAGAAAAATACTTGGCAAAAGACTTGGACGATGCCCATTCTTCGTATGACAGTTGGGCATGTGAACGTGCTAGAGTCAAAAATTAAACAATGGGCGCTCCAATGCTTGACCAGAACTCTCGGACCATGTTTGGTAGGCCTCACTGGACTGTATTGGGCTAAATAACACTTAAATCCATGTTTGATTTGAGAATGGACTAACTTAAAAGGGATTGTATAGTCCAACGGTTAAAAGAAACGGCTCACTCACTCTTCTAATATAGTGAGGCTGAAAATTGGTTCACTAAATAACACTCTCGCTAAATAGAACAAGGGAGTCTAACACAGTGCAAACCAGTTTCTTCTACTTCTTCATCAGCTTCGTGATATCTTGGTGCAGCGTGTATCGACTCTACCACACAATTCTGCCATTGACTTTCATGACGGATTTGATTGCAAAAGTGAGAAGCACATGAAATATTTCTCCATTCTGAAGGCGCCATCCATGTGGATCTTGATTGCAAGAGTGAATTTATTGTTTCTGATGATTCTTTCAGACCACCTGAAATTACAGAGCCTATGAATGTTGTGAACAATATGGTCGTCAACCAATTGAACGACTCTGTTTGTACGTGAAATGGGCTTTGTGGGTTTTCAATTGAATTCATGAAAATAGAAAAGAGGAAGTTCCTTGCACACTTTAAACAGAAGCTTGGCTTATAATAATCAGGATATTTCATTCATCCCAAGACAGAGCGAAAGAGTATGTAGTACAACCGTAGTGTGAAGGCAACAAGATAATTATTGGACACAACAAACATAGTGACACAAGTAAACAGCGTTGCAAGCCCTATTGATTGTCAATGAAACGTAGACTAGACCTCAATATATAGCTTGTCATTTTTTTGGTCAAGTTCACTTTAAACAATGGATAGTAGGATGCAAGAATATATGACAAGATAGAATAATCAACTCGCTAATCAGTGAAAGATGTAGAATAATATAAGCATAATGTTGGGAGTTTTATAATTTGTTAAGAAGGTGCGGGAAATATAAGCATAATGTTGAACATATTAGAACTAATCATTGTGTTTCAGTTCAGCTTCAATCTTCAGACAAACCCCACATGTATATTAATTTGATGTTAATTACTTTATAGTTTAGATTTATGAACCTTAGGTAAAGCCAAACGAAACATTTCATCATAAATTAGAAGATATACTGTCTTTTTTTTACATAATTCATAAAGCATTCAAACATAAACGTATGCATCAAACAAAGTTAATTATAAGGATGGTTTTATTTGAATGAAATAGATATATATATATATATATATATATATAGAAACAAATAAGTACATTGACAAAGCCAAAGATGAACATCACATGACATTAGAAGAGAAACATCACACCACATAATCAAGATTTATTCCCAAGCTCTGCATTTCTTGTCAAATATTCCTTTTCCATAGGTAAACATGAAAATGTCAAGAAAGAGGGGAAATTGCATCCACACAAACGAGGCGATTGGAACGCTGGCAAGCAAAATGATTGGAATAGATACCCATGATTCTCCCTCAAGCATAATAAAAATAGTTGAAGAAAAAGCAACCATCATGGCGGCGATAGATAAAAAAAGGGTGAAAAGGCCTAATAGCATTTTTGTGGGCAAATACCTGAGGAAATCGTCTTCTGCATAACGTGATGTGAGAATTCCCAAGAATATCATCACTGATGTCATTGAAGAAAAGAGTGATATGGAATCTGAAATTAGAAAAACCCTAAAGAACTTCTTTCTTAAGAAGATGGGAAAACCTGTATCTTGATTGTTTCCACCAGGAACTGTAAATGAAGCAGCAAACATAATGGTAACAATGAGGGCACCTACAACTGTGCAAGAAGTTGTTGTCCCTTTCATCGACTCTTCTCCTTCCTTCACCAATTCTTTGTGGTTCTTGGTGAATACTTCTCGTGCTGTCATTTTCTCAGAAACATTTGTAACTTCTAAGCACTGTGGGCTTACAATACTCTCCACCTCCTACATTTCATTAAGAAAACTCACATCACATATATATATAGCCTATAGGTATATGTAACAAAGTAATTGTCTAAGGTTACATATATGTAATAAAGTGAGAAAATCTAACCTTGAACCACTGTAGCTCTCTTTGCATTGGCAAAGCTGCACCTTGAATATGATTAAGATGTGCAGCTCCCTGCTGCATGTAGGATAGTATTGTTAGATTTAGCTGCCCTCTTTAAGATTTCATTCCTATCATATTCACTGAGCCCATATATAAGACTAAAAACTTTTTCTTGACAACATTCAACGGCATAATGAAATATTGTCCTGCAGCTTTCATCCCCCATCACTAGTGGGATTCTTGGATTCTTCTTACACATCTCCTTAATGAACTCCACTTGTCCTCGTTCTATAGCTCAAAACATTGCCTTTTGCACAAAGGCAGTTTGCTTCGAGTTAAGATTTCAACGTGTTGCCACGTCACACACGAGCGGCAGAATATGAAGAATTCGGTCATGGTGCAATCTTATTTCATGCAAGTCATGGATTCCTAGGTTAACAGTGAAAAAAATATTAATCTATAATGTATTACAAAAGTGAGAATTAAACCAAAAATCAATAATGTTGCATATAGCTAGCGTACCTAATAGTTTGAGAAGATTCTTAACAACTCCTTGAAAGAAACCTGTAACTGTATTGCGAAATCCGTACCATCAAGCTTTGCCTTAGAAGGATACGTTACTTTACATGTGCTTTTTTTAATATAAAATATAACAAAGGATGCAATATTGAAAACCAAGGAGAAAATGGTAACGTATCTGAGGAAATGAGATCCCTTCTCTTTCTTTTGTCATCTTCTATTTCTTCAAAATTTACACAAACATCAGAGTTGATAGGAGCAAGTTGAGGTTGTTGTACGTGTATATCTAAAGAGAAAGCAACACAAACCAATCAATACATTTTCCTACGAAGAGAAGAGAGACAAGAGAAGAGAGAAGAGAATACAAAATACTAACTATTATAGATCCAGCGTTGCCAAAATTTGAGGGAAACCCCACTTGAAAATGCGGAACGGAAACTAGCCAGTGTATTTAGAGGGGAGTACCCTTGCCAGGAAATTTCAGTAAGGGCCAATTTTGGGTCCTTCTGAAGTAAATCCCATCCAATATCTATAGTATAGTTGGTTCATCATATAAGCAGCCACAAATCAAAATATACTATAATTGGTTATTTATATATATTTCAAAATGATGTCGAAATTACCAAATTTATTTATGTAGACAAAGCACTGGGAAATAAGTTCAGCACCATCGCGGCCATTTTTGTCTTCAGTCAAAACTTTGATTGGAGTGTAAGAATAGAGAAAGCGAGCTATTTCCCAATGGCCCAAAGTATAAGCGAATAAAACCGGAGTCATACCTTTTTCGTTGTCAAAACGCATGGTAACTAATTTCTCGTTCTTTGTAACCATACTGGTAACTATTGAGGCCATTCCTTTTTGCAAAGTATAGAAAAAAGCTGTGGAACCAATGTCATCTTGAATTTCCAAGTCCTCTTCTGTCATTAGCTTCAACAACTCTTCCACAATGTGTAACTGCTTCCTCTCGATTGCCTCGTGAAGAGTTGTCCCACCGCTTGATGAACCTCTATGTTTTAGTGCCTCAGGGTGTCGATCAATAAACTCCTTTGCAGCATTCCAATCACCACGCTTCAAACTATGGTACAAAGAATCATACTTCACATCGCTCTCATCATTATTATTATGCCCTGTTTCTTAGCAAACATAAAAATAAAAATTATACATCACACCAAACCTTACTGTAAGACCCCTTACAAGTGCCATGGCCAAGTATGGCAGCAGCTATGCAAAAGGTTGGCAGCAGTTGTCGAAGAAATGCGCAAGACTACCTTGGAAGCCTCAACAGCGCATGTGAGACAAGTGCGCAGCACAGCGCACATAGGCAGCACACGCAAAAGCACGAAGTGCAGTGGTGCGCATCTTACATAGGCAACATGCAAGCTGGCAGTGCATGTCGACAGATCATGGGCAGGTGCATGGGCTGGTACGTGGGCTGTTGCGTGGGCAGTTATGCAGGCGGTTGGCTGGCAGGATGTGCGCAAGTGGTGGGCAGATCTTGCGGGCAGATTGTGTGCATGGTGCTGGCAGATCGTGCAAGCAGTTGGCTTGCATGATGTGTGACGGTTGCTGGCAGTTTTGTGTGGGCAGTTACATGGGCAGTTGTGAGGAGAAAAAGGGCAGTTACATGCAGCGAGAAAAAGGGCATGTCTAGGCGGTTACGCATGGTAGTGGCAATGTGGCATGCATGGGATGCATCATGTGGAGAAGGCAATGTTAGTGGAAGGAGTGGGCGATTATCTTGCACCTTTGTAGGCATACAACATGGCATGATGGCATGACATGGCTACAACATTGACACATGGCGCCACAAGCAAAAAGGAAGCCTAAAGAATAGGAGTTCATGGGTTTCTTTGTGGGATAGTGGCATGGTGGTTTTTAGGAGGAAAACTACCCATCACACATAACCTAGGCAGTTGGGGTTGTCAACTGTGATAGTCTATAAATAGGCCTTAGAGTAGGCATTGTAGACGAGACGGACACGAGATAAAGTAAGACGGCAAAGTGCATGTGCTGATCTACTTAGTGTCTTAGGCAAAGTGTATCCTTGTCTTGTGCAAAGAAAATGTTAGGGGTGTTGCCCTATAAAGTGCATTGCGTCTAATATTGTGTGTGAGAGTGCGAATGGCTAAGACTGTGCTTAGTGTACAGTGCCATTACAAGGGTCGAAATTTGGGCAAAAATTTACCCCTGTAACAGCTGGTATCAGAGCGCCTAGTTGCGCGTGGTTGTCACTAGTTGGTATGGCTGGTGGAAGTGATACGGTGCAGGACCGTGTTACCCGTCTCGAAGAGTTCGTTGGTACACCCTTGGTGGAAGATTCCGTATGTCTTGCTGCCCAATATGAGGAGAGTGCTTCAGAGCTTGCTGTGTTACGAAAGAGTCTGGACGACTTCGTGGCTACAAGAGAAACTAAGTTCACCGCAATTATGACAGACATGGAGTCCTTGGTGGATGTCTTCAAGTCCAGCATCCAGGCTGTGGAGGAAGATGTCTCACTTTTGAAGAAGGTCTCGCATGGTCAAGAGGAGAGGAGTCCTTTGGCCAAAGTGAAGGTGCCGGATCCGAAGCAATTCAGTGGGAACCGAAATGCTAAAGATCTAGAGAACTTCCTATGGGATATGGAGCAGTACTTCAAAGCTACCCGCATATCAGAGGAAGAGAAGGTGACGATTACTTGTATGTTTTTGACTGGTGACGCCAAACTATGGTGGCGTACGAGGGTGTCAGATGATGCAAGTGTTGGGCGACCGAAAATAGAGACGTTGACAACCTTGAGTAAGGAATTGAGGGACCAATTCCTCCTTAACAACACAGGATGGGTTGCAAGGGAAACTCTCAAAAAGTTGAAACACACAGGCATTGTTCGTGAGTATGTGAAGGAGTTCAGTTCTTTATTGTTGGATATAAAGAACATGTCCTAGGAGGACAAATTGTTCAACTTTATGTCGGGTTGCAGGCTTGGGCTCAGGCTGAGTTGAGAAGGCAAGGGGTTCGTGATGTATCCAGTGCCATTGCTGCCGCAAAAGGATTAGTGGACTTCAAGATGGGCAATACTTCTTCTAGGGAAAAGAATAAGGAAACCAGTAGGAAGAAGGATAGGAAAAAGTCTGATGCTTCCAATGGTGAGAAGAAAGATAGGAAGAAGAAATATGGTAAGGGTACCAAGTATTCAAATGATGGTAAAGCAAGCAGTTCGAGTTTGGCTGGTTGTTTTCTTTGGTAGCAGATCATTCCGATGGGAAGGATGATGAGGCGGATGAGGTGATGCCTCGATTGAACCCTTTACAGTTGATCAATACGATCGTTACTGTAGACAAACAACCTACATTCCAAGAGGGCTTGATGTATGTGGCTCTGAAGATAAATGGTATTAAGACCCATGCCATGGTAGACTCGGGGGCTACCAATAATTTCCTTGCTAAAAGAGAAGTGGATAAATTTGGCTTGGATCTTGCTCAGAGTTCGTGTCGAATCAAGGCAGTGAATTCCGAGGCGACATCAGTTCTGGGGGCTGCCGTGGTGTCTCTCAAGGTGGGACTTGGGGAGGGCAGATGCAGCTTTGTTGCTGTTCCCTTGGACGATTTTAATGTCATCCTAGGAGCGGATTTCCTATTGAGAGCGAAGGCTGCTGTTATCCCTTATTTGAATGGGATGATGCTTGCAAATGAAAGAAGCCCATGCTTTTTTCCAAGTGTGGATCTTGGGAAGAACAAAGGGGTTGCAAAGAAGAAGCTGAGTTTGCTTTCCGCTATGCAACTGAAGTCGGGATTGAGGAAGAATGAGGAGACTTTTCTTGCTGCCTTGGTAGAGATCAAGCCAGACAAGATTGTGGAGGTCCCTGATTGCGTGGTTGAGGTGCTGGATGAGTTCGTAGACATTATGCCTTCGAAATTACCCAAGCAACTCCCTCCCCGACGAGCCATTGATCACAAGATAGAGTTGATTCCGGGTTCGAGACCCCATGCACAGGCTCCTTATTGAATGGCACCATCTGAGTTGGCGGAAGTCAGAAAGCAGTTGAATGAATTGCTAGATGCCGGATTGATTCAACCGTCAAAGGCCCTATATGGTGCTCCAGTGCTGTTCCAAAGGAAGGCTGAAAGGACATTGAGGATGTGTGTGGACTATCGTGCACTAAACAAGGTAATTGTGAAGAACAAGTATCATGTTCCTCATGTGGCTGACTTGTTTGATAGATGGTCGAAGGCTACATACTTCACCAAACTGGATTTGCACTCGGGTTATTGGCAGGTGCGTATTGCGGAGGGAGATGAATCAAAAACTGCTTGTGTAACTAGATATGGTTCATATGAGTTTCTTGTTATGCCGTTTGGGCTAACTAATGCCCTGGCTACTTTCTGCAATTTAATGAATGATGTCCTTTATGAGTAGTTGGACTCGTTTGTTGTGGTTTATCTGGATGATATTGTCGTGTATAGTGATTGCTTGGAGAATCACTTGAAACACCTGAGAGCAGTTTTCTCTAGGCTAAAAGAATACCAACTCTATGTCAAGAAGGAGAAATGCGAATTCTGCTGCCAAGAAATCATGTTCTTGGGTCATTTGGTGAGCAAATGCAAGATACGCATGGATGGGAAGAAGGTTCAAGTCATTCTTGATTGGCCCGCACCTACCAAAGTGCCTGAGTTGAGATCTTTCCTTGGGTTAGCCAACTACTACCGCAAGTTTATCAAAGATTATTCCAAGAAGGTGAATGCTTTGACAGATTTGTTGAGGAAGGATAGGCCATGGTGCTGGACGGAGAAATGCGATGAGGCATTTGAAGATATCAAGCAAGCTGTAGCTTCTGAGCCGGTGCTCAAACTACCTGACTTTGAATTACCCTTCGAAGTGCACATTGATGCCTCGGATAGAGCCATTGGAGGGGTGCTGGTCTAGGAGGGACACCCCGTTGCTTTTGAAAGCCGTAAGCTCAAGGAGTGTGAGCAACGGTACTCCACCCATGAGAAAGAAATGACGGCAGTGGTACATTGCTTGGAGGTTTGGAGGCATTACTTATTGGGAACTCAGTTCACAGTGGTGACAGATAATGTGGCGAACACATACTTCAAAACCCAGAAGAAGTTAACTTCGAAACAAGCACGTTGGCAAGAGTTTTTGTCAGAGTTTGATTTTGCTTGGGTGCATAGACCAAGGAAGCAGAATCAAGTGGCAGATGCGTTGAGTCGCAAAGAAGTCCAAGAGTTCGTGGCTGCGCTTACGTTAGTGCAATCGGATTTCTTAGACCGAATTAGAGATCGGTCTAAGAAGGACTTAGCCTACATCAAACTCCAACAGCAGGTCAAGGAGGGACTTGTGCGAAGATATTGGTTGGAGGATGATTTACTCTATGCCAAAGAAGGTAGAGTGTATGTTCCTAGTGGGGGTGGCCTACGAAAGGAATTGTTGCGGGAAATGCATGATCCACAATGGGCGGGACATCCTGGTGTGGATAGGATGATCGCTTTGGTTTCAAGGTCCTACTACTGGCCAAAGTTGGAGGACGACATAGAAGCCTACGTGAAGACTTGCTTGGTGTGTCAACAAGACAAGTTCAAACGGAAGAAAGAGGCGGGACTGCTACAACCACTTCCTATACCGGAAAGACCATGGCAATCGGTGTCGATGGATTTCATCACCAACCTACCGAAGGCGGAAGGTATGCGGTCTATCCTTGTTGTGGTTGATAGGTTTTCAAAGTATGCGGTTTTCATAGCCACACCGCATGCTTCTGCTGCGGATGTGACAGCAGGGTTGTTTTTCAAGCATGTTGTGAAGTACTTTGGATTGCCGGAGGATATCATTAGTGATCGAGATGCTAGGTTCACAGGCAGGTTTTGGACAAGTTTGTTTAACATGATGGGGTCTGAGTTGAAGTTTTCCACCGCTAATCATCCTCAAACGGATGGCCAAACGGAGAGGATGAATCAGTTGTTGGAAGAGTATCTTAGACATTATGTGACAGCGAGTCAAAAGAATTTGGTAGAGCTATTGGATGCGGCTCAGTTTTGCTACAACCTACATCGGTCCTCGGTGATAGGTTTGAGTCCTTTTGAGTTGGCAATGGGTCAACAGCCTCGAACACCTCAGGAAGTTGCGGTGCAACGGACTGGAGGGAAATGCCCCACGACGTACAGATTCGCTCGTTCCAGACAAGAGTTGTTGGAAGAAGCTCGAGACAGTTTGTCAAAATCTAGGAGAATGATGAAGAAGTATGCTGACAAAAGGAGGCGGCCATTGGAATTCAAAGTTGGGGATAAGGTATTGCTTAAACTTACTTCTCAAATTTGGAAAAAGATAAGTAGCAAGGTAGTCCATAGGGGACTCATTCCGAAGTATGATGGACCTTTTGAGGTGAT